ATATCAGATCTTGGTTTAGATCAGTGGTTCCCAAAGTGGTCCCTACGGACCCCCAGGGGTCCCCGGTATCATTAAGGGAAAATTAAAATTGATTTAGGGGTCTCTGAACAACGTCAGGGGGTCCGCGCAAGGTTTAATATAAAATAATATAATATAATTAATAATATAAAATATATAAGTACGTTGGTTATCTAATAGTGAATGTTTAAATCGATTTTATGCGCTCTTTGATTCAGTGTTGGAATTCCTGAAAACCTAAGACAATTTGCGACACAATTTAATTAACTCAAAAAATGACATAGCGTGTATGTCTGATTTATTTGCCATATTTAACGAAACTAATCTGAAACTACAAGGTGACCAATTAAATTTAATCAAAACTAAAAGCGTAATATCTGCGTTTGTTGCAAAACTTTTTCTTTACAAACAAAACATGGGAAGAGGAGAATGCTCTGTTTCCAATCTTTCGAAATTGCAAATTAGAGAAGAAGATTTGCTTGCTTACTGTCAACACTTAACGGCTCTCCTTACAGATCTCAACCAAAGATTTGAAGACATTCTTCACTTCCCGGGTGTTCAACCCTTCTGCGCCTGGACAGATCCCAAACAAAGATGAATCTATACTTATACAGGAGCAGCTTGTTGAAATATCCACAAATGAGGAACTTAAACCAATGTTTGAACAAGAATACCAAAAATTCTGGTTACAAAAACAAATCCCAATTTTATATCCTGTATTATGGGTCTTTCAATTAGGCAGAACGTGGATTCAGTGCCGTTATGAACCTCATCACAAAAGAAAGAAACCGATTAGAAATTATACACTCGTAACATCTCATCACGTTCATCCAAGTCATTAATTTTTTTATATTTTATTTTAAACAAAAGGAATTAATATTATAATTTATTAAATTCACTAATTTCGTGGTCCGCTTGACCAATTAATATATTGCAATAAATTAAGATTTTTTAGTTGAGATAAAAAAGTCAATGGCACGAGCGTGATTCGAACCCACGATCTTCGGCTAGGTAGGCTCGTGATTGTTGAACTTGGGTAGAGTTTCTGAGACTTTGGAGTTAGATTCCAAGGCGGTGTTAATGTACATGAAGTTAAATACAGGTGTCTCTTTAGAAAAGGTCGGATATGATAGATTAGCAATCAAAGCAGTGTCAATGAGAAAACACCGTCTTGTATTTCGTATGTCTAAGTTTTACATAATACATTAATGTTTTAATTGAAGTTAAACATTCCTGGATTTATTAAGCAAGACATTTTTACAATCAAACTTCCAACTTTCTAAATATAGATTCATAGTGTTATTATTAATTAGTGTCATAGGTAATTTATATAACTATGTCATAGGTAATCATAGGTAATAACTCCATTTTTTGTATAAAGTTTGCCCATATTATTTTTATACTTTAATTCGATGAAAATAACATTACTTGGTACAATAAGTGAACCAGTGAAGAAAGTTCAAAGGTGAAAATCTGAGGGGCTTCCTTCGGTATCGGGACAAAAGAGAATTCCCGGACCACTTTTACAACGGCGCTTAGATTCTGAATGACCCTAACTTGTAAACGCTCTTTTCCTTTGTTGTCCCGGACGCGAAATCCTTTTGTCAAAGACGTTTTGACCTTTTTTGGGGGGTGGATTTCATTGCTGTGAAAATTGCCCTGAGCGTCTCCCTGTCAAAGAGCCTTGTACTATCGGAAATGTTAGAAAAAAGCTGGATCTTTGGCTTGAATCAACCGGTTGAAAGGGCCGGACTGTTTGCCAGATCAACGAAAATCACATTGATAGAATATTTTTCTTGAAATTAGGACGAGAAAAAAAATATCCGTTAAAAAGTTGCATAAAATCCTACATATTTTTATATTTTGGAAATGTCTGACTAAATTATGTTAATTCTACATATAACCTTACGTTCTTTTGTTAATGAAATTTGCCCTTTATGTAAGATTAAGACAATTAGAATAGAATATGGATTGTGTGATGTAAAATTTGATTAATAAATCTTGTTTCTTCCTTGTAATATCCTATTAAAAACAAGTTCTCAAAGTACGGTACACAAATGTCCTCGTTATATATTTAAAACATCATCCAAAGTTGATATAAACTTTCTTAAGGGTAACAAAGCTAAAGTAAAGCATAAATCCTCCCCCCCCCCATAAATACATTATTTTCTTGTTTACTTGTTGTTACTCTCGCTATAAAAATTATAAATTAAATTAAATTTCTATGGCGAAAACAAAAGTCATTTCCTGGTATTTTGAAAAAAAAAAGGTGTATGAGGGAAAGAGAATAAAGCAATATGTATGTAGAAAAGAATCTTTTCGTCCAAGCCTACAAGGATTACATACTCCACCCCTTTTCCACTATAAAAAACGAATTGCCTTTTTTCGTGCTATCGTCTCACTTGTTGTTGACTTTATTTTATTTATATTTTTATCCCCGAAAGCAGAAAGTTCAATCAGGTTGATCGAAGTACGAAATTTCTTTTAGCATCTTGCAATACACGTATCTTGAGCACGGCATGGCTAAGGTTATTTATTATTTTTTTTATTAATTGCCCTATGGCTTTACATATTAACCAGAGAACATTTTATGCTGATTAATTTTATAATTTTACAAGGGGAAAGGGGGGCGTGAAAGAAAATCCGACGGGGGACGCAAAATGGGGCAAAGGAAGCAAAAAAAAAAACGATTACCAAAAACTGAAAATTTGATAATCCGATTCACTTTTCTTACAGCATTTGAGGCAGAGAATGTGTAATAATGGTTTTACGATTAAAAATTGATCAAAACCAGTAATCACTTCTGAAACCTGAAAATTATCAATTTTGCAAGGTGTACAGTTATTTTCTGAATATTACCGCCAAACACCTATAAAAACTAGTTAACTTAATTTCCTTTTATGTACACACCCAAATATGAGATAAAGGCAAAAATTTAACGTTGGTATCAGGTGAGGTTAGTTGAGGGAAAACCAGCAATATTGGAGGAACATTCGGATTTTTTAGACGTTCAAAAACTGCTTCGTTGTGCTTTGCTTTAGCTCCGTCTTTTTTCCATTCTATACACATCGAATTACTATCCCTGTGGTTTTCAGCAGCCTATTCGTGCCTATTTGATTGCAACCCTGTTTTAAATAGATTTAGCCTAAAATCTCGAAAATTCAATAAATTTGGCCACTTTCTGTTTAGATGAAGCATTGTGCCTTAAATGTTCCTGTTCTTTTACTGTGTACAATCAGATATCAAAAATATCGTATCATGAAATGTTCTCTTTAATAGAAATGTATACCTATAAAGGAACACAAACTTTGGTTTCAATGTGGACAAAGCGCAAAATGTCCTTGACATAGTTATTAGTTGTTAGTTTATAGTTATTTTGTCAGCTCAGTTTTCATTTAATATACATTCTTTGAATAACACATCATAGAAATGATAAATGTAATTTTAACAATAATAAATCAATGTAATCGATCAGTATACGGATAATAATAATTTCCATTCACACAGACAGAGAAGTGCAATATCGTATCGTTCAGAAAGCCTTTCACTGATAGTTTTTCAAATTTTGAAGGTAGGCAATTTGAATGAAAACCCAAAATTTTAATATTTTCATTTAAAAAAATCAGTTTACTACTCTAACAGAAATAGTAAAAAAATGAAAAAGATGATCATTGGAAAGCTCTTGAGTTCAATTTTTTATTTTAAAAGCAATTTAACAATTTTTGTGAGAAATCTATTGAGAAGAAAAACATGCGCAAGCTTCATTTTGGTTGTCCAAAAACGGTATTTTTTATGATTTACTTGCGAAAAAAGCAAGTTAATGCCTTTTTCGTGGTGATATTCGTGAATAGCGTTAAATTTTCTATGAGAATAGAGGTATTCAATATTTGTTATTATTTTATTTACACTTAGAGTTTCAACAGTCTGTGATTAAAAGTTATTCAGATGCAATTATTACGATTGAGTCCATCTGAGTCAATACAGCAGGTTATGGTGTGCAACGTGTGGCGTTATTCGTCTACCGTCCACAATTTTGGAAGTTTAATTGAATTCAGCGCGAGAAAAACCCATGATTGTCGGTAATATTTGTTCCAATATTGGATTTTCAACCGCAATTTTTGACTATGGCTATGGTCTAATCGATTCAAAAAAATTTCGTTGGATTCGGCGCACCAAAAAACATAAACGTACAAAACTTGGGGGAACTTCATTGTTTGGGTGTTACTTTCCGCTATTTTGTGTTTTTGCCCCACTGCTAGACGTTGGGATTCGAACCCACGACAAGGGGATCTACGAGTCTAGAGGTATGTTAACCATCCGTGGCCATTCTTCAGATCAACCTGCATCTTTGCTATGAGGTAAATATTATTCATTGCACGAATTAGGTTTCAACTGTTGCATTGATTCAAAAGTTTAGTGCACGGTTTATTATGCTGAATTGAATGGAATAAACGACGAAAGACCTCAAAAATTACATATTGTTACATCTGCACTTTCCAACATAACAATTTATTAAAAATAACGAACAGCTTTAATTAGCAGAGTTCATACTGTAACAATTAAATAAATATTATTAAAAAATCGCATTTTAAGTAGAAACCATTTAGTGAAATAATTTTAAACGAAAATTTATTTCCACAGGCGGTGAAGTGCGTATATAACAACTTCAAACTCATTACATGCTCACATCGCTGTATAATTTAATAAAAAGAGCAATGTTTGGCAAAATTTCGTTCAGCATGAAGCAGTTGAGAAATTAACCTGATATACAATTTACCTCTCACGCCAAACTAATTTACATGTTTTTACATTGATCAACTGCTTTTTAATTGCAATTGTTAATGTTAATAATATTGAGAAACCCTTGATATGCATTACAAGAAATCAATATTACAAATTGAATCTACATACTATTTTCTATCAACTAAAATCTATGTACTATATGCTATGATTCTACAACATGCCATTTACGATATACATACTAAATTGGACAAAGTCTTCCGACATCGATTGAAGAAGGCGAAACTCGTTTGAAACAGATCGTACGTCGAAACTAGGCGGACCAGGTTGACCAGGGGTGATAAACTGCGAACAAATTTTCAACAACTCGATGACCGAGAAGCAAGAATTCAAAATTAACTAGAATGTACACTGATGTTTTGTTTTGTTTGCTAAGATTCGTTTTAAACTGGCTTGACATGTCCTATAAATGTAGCTGTATTTCAAAACTTAAAAAATAACGCTCGCGGGAGCAGACCCGAATCAGTTTTTGAAAACATCCACAAAAATGATAAGCTACAAAGCTCGAAGTTTACTAGGCACAATCATAATTCCCTTAACTAAAAAAGTACCAAAGATTTTTTAAAATCATGAGCTAAAATAATTCTAGGAGGGAAAATCATCTTTAGCAGATGTAATCCTTTTCTGGGTAAAGTTGGTGACTAAATCCAACGACAATCGCAGCAGCTGTTGGACCCATGGTAACCAACGTATTGTGGTTTGCTGATAACATAGATTATAACGCTCACAGACTAGCTTGCTTGGGCACAACTGGGACAATGAGACCCGAATTCCAGCATTAGAAGTTCTCAATCTTCCACCCCTGAATATCTCTATCCGGGGAAAAACTAAAACAATTCTATAGCCAGCAAAAAAAGGAGCACTTAATCCTTCGGGAGAAACTTAGGCACACAAGGTTCTGGTGATGCCTGGAGGCCATGATCACAAAATTCACATTGGATGAGCAATTTCAAATTAAAATTCACAATAGGGCAGGTTCGATCCACTCGGACACCAACTTCCTATCTCAACCTCATCACTTGAATTGTCCCTCCTTTTTGCCATTTTTCAAATGTCGTGTAATCTATTCGATTCTCGGCGACAAATGACAAGGCTACGGAGAGCTTTAGTGAAATATACTCCATTTTGCTTCTTAAATCGTTTTCGTGGTCCGATTAACCAAATAAATTCTTTTCAATTAATTAATCTTTAAGTGAGGTATTGGTTGAGATAAGTGTCACGAGCGGGATTCGAATTTGAAGAATAAAATTTAAACGATATAGGCATAGCTTGAAAGTATACTAGCACATCCAACGGTGGTCATATTAATTCATAATTTACCATATTAATAATTCCAATTAATTATCCTTTTTCTCTACGATTTTTGGTTGAGATGAGCGGGATTCGAACCCTTGAACTTCAGCTCAATACGCCGCAGCTGTAACCATTTGAGCGATTTATGAAGTTATTTTTCATCTCAACATAAAACTTTAGATGAAAAGAATAATTGATTGGAATTATTAATATGGCCCATTATGATCAGTAAGCAAATATGGATTAATTTAATAATTAAAAAAAAGTAATTATTTCCTAACAGCAACTCGTGGCTGAGAATCGCATGCTGGTTACCCGACATTTGAAAATAAGGCAAAAAGAGGGAAAATTCCAACGGTTGTACGTTGATATGACGAGTTGGTGTCCGAGTGGATCGTGGTCACGATGGCTTAAGGGAAGGGTAGCGGCGTATTTAGCCGAAGGTCGTGGGTTCGAATCCCGCTCGTGACACTGACTTTTTTATCTCAACCAATACCTCACATAAAGACTAATTAATTGAAAATAATTTATTTGGTCAATCCGACCACGAAACATAATCGAATTACTGTTAATGTCGACTATCTAATGAACAAATGGCTGAGTAATTGTAAGGATCTATGGAGATAACCCCAAGAATAAAATTCATTTAAGCCTTGAGCACTATATCACTATCTTTCGGCCGGAGACTGTGGCTATTAAACCTGTACCTGGGAGATCATAAGCTAGGTATTTCCAACAAAAGAATAGCGGTCTATTTAGACACTCAAGGCATCACATGGGAATCCGAAGTCGTTTGGGATAGCATCAAAGACATATCAGAACTATACCCTTTGGATAAAGGTCATTTAAGGCAGATAGGCAACGAGGAGGCTGATTTATTACCCAATGAAAGTTCGACCATGACATCTATCAACCTTGAACCCCCAAGAATTTCTAAAAACGCAGCTTAATTATGGGACCTTAATATTATTCAAGAAATAAACGGTAGAACCACTAAGCCAAGGAGGATAGCACGAATGCTGGCCAGATGATAAATTACCCAAAAAAAATTTCCATGAGGACACGTAAAGGCGCTGAACCCTTTTCCTGCATGACGAATTGTCAAAAACGTAAATCCATCAGATAATGCCTCCTCGTATTTCGTTACGGCAAAAATGGCCAGGAAGAAGTACAAAAAGCGGTACACCATCTCAGTTTGTCCGAAGTTGTATGCAGGCTGATTCCTACTCTTGGGAGAGGAAAAAAGGACCAAACGGGGGCCTTTAAGTAAGTTAGTAGGTAAAAAGCCTACAACTTGAAGAAGTGCTCTTTACAATAACTGACATTCCACAACAGTTTGCACAAAGGAAAACCTGAGCGGTAACACAGTAGGTGTGTAGGAAGCTTTTATGAGAGGTTTTTCTTAGTAAAAGAACGCTTGGTAAGGTCGACGAGGACATACGACGAACAGCTTAAAGCTTAATGAAAAATAATGGACATTATGCCACATGACGCTCACGAGCACGTGTAGTCTCCCCCATTTATAAAAACAGTATATTACCTGTCTCGACAGTAAGCTAAATAAATTCAGGACATTCAACCGGAATAACCATCCATTTTCCAGACGATTCCAACCACCTTTTATCATTTAGAAAGACGGAACTCAAATATCACGCCAAATATTCTAAATTGCCTTTTTTTTGTGTTGCCTTATTAATAAAGCCAGAGGCCAAAGTGCTTGGGGAACAAAAAACCTCGACAGCTTCGTTCCATATTAATCATCATAACCATTGTTTATTAAGCCTGAATTGAACTTGGGAGACCATATTAAGCCTGAAACAGGAATTAAACCTTGTCTCAAAACAAATTACTAAATATTTAAAGAAATTCGTTTCTGGCCACTCAGCACAATTTAAACACCCACGTGAACAGAAACTTGTTTTACATAGTTTTCTGTGCAAACATTTACACAGTTTATCAGTATAATCAGTGGTACTGATCAATAAAAGATTTTGCAGGAGCCTGGCAGACCGCAGGGATGGGGAGAGGAGTCGGCCATTGCTGGAATTCTCAGTGTTTAGTTTTGTAGGTTGAGATTTCGGGTTGGGTAAGGAGGATGGTGCCAACATGGACTCTATTGGCCCAGAACCCTACTGCGGCCGAGCAGCCTGCCACAAAAGAGGATACATCTTAAAATGGGTTCTTAATGAGTCCATAACCACAGGTATGAGACACGTGAAGAGATTCATAGAAGGACCATCCGCAAAACTTACGAAAGAATTACTGGAAGGCAACCGCAACCGAACCAGGATTCTGGTTGAACTCCTGAAAGCACATTGCCACTTAAGAAATCACATGCACCGGTAAGAGTACAGACAGAAGAAACACTGTGCAGATACTGCCAGGAAGAGGAGGAGACCGCATAAGACATTTTATGTTTCTATGGAGGTCTATGTAGGTGCATGTTCTTCCAACTAGGACAAGAAAAACCACAGGCAAGATCCTACACCAAGGAACAGCTGGCAAAGATGTGGAGGCTGGTTAATCGCCTGAAGTTATAATTAACAGAGGAACACAATAGAAATATTTCGGTCGAGGTGCAGTAGGCCTTGTTGCCGCCTCTCTTGTCCCTATCCACTATCCCTAGGAGGATGGTTTGGGTGAGACGTTGAAGAGGGCTTGAGCTAGTGGAATGGAGTGGATGGAGAGCTTGGACATGTTGTGGCACCTGTTTAGATCATGTCCGTCAGGAATTGAATGTCTACTTCTTTGTGCATGATCTGGTTAGTGACATAGAAGGGAACTTTCAGGACTTTTGATTTTTTTTGCCTAACCTTTCGGCATTTGCCATATACCTATTTCCCCGTGAGACAGACGGAGTGCCACCGCCGCCGCGGACCAGGAAGTTACGGCGGGTTACCTCTTTTTTATTTATTTTATTTCCGGGTGTTTTAGGAGGATGTAGATAAAAACAATTTACAATTTTACACCTATGGAAAAGTCCACAACCCGTGGCTAAACGTGCCCAGGTTGCCACCATACCGTGCCGAAACGACACCCGAAGACGACCGCCCCCAGCCCAGCGACCCCCCATCCAATCTCAGGTGCTATTTTTTCTTTTCTTTAAATGCCCATGTCGTTTGTAGTCAGAATGTTGAAAACAGCGTTTAAAACATCCAAATCACCTAATCTCAGAACTTGGACTATGTTGGTCGGAAGACTTTTGATTGAAAGGACTGTATTCTTTAGATTTTGGATGGCTTGAATAATTAGTGTCTTGAATATTGTTAGTTTGTGTGAACTCAACGTAGATTTGGATCCACATAGGCTTCTGTGTTGTCCGTACCTTCGTTTCAGTTCTCGTCTTTTTTGTTTTATGTGTATGTTCCGTAAACTTCTACTGTCCAAATACCCAAGGTAGCGGATTTCGTTGGATAGAAAGATTACATTACTGTATATGTGAACTTGTGCGCAGGTATTTCTTCTAAGTGTGGTCGAGAACGGCTCTATAGAACAACTAGGACAAAAAAATCTCCAGGTCGATTTCTAGCCTTAATATGTTGTAACGAAAGAATTTCCGTGAAGGTGGACCTGGAGAAACTTATTGCTTTAGGATGAGGCCTGATTCTGTCGGACAAGTCACGTGAGGTCATATTTTCACATGTCAGACTCAGAGTACTATTGTTAAATCCGAGATAATTTTATACGAAGTATGTCAGCGAAAAGGAGGTCAGAAATAATTAACAATTGTAAAAGAAGATCTTTTACGTTATACAATAGTTGTTTAAATGGAAGACCTATGAAATTAAATTAGGTCACCTAAGTTTGTTTCAGTTTGACTATTAACACAAAATGGGCATTTAACACTTTTAATTCCCTACTTTCTTACCTTGAAGAGGATTCAAATCGTAGAGAAAAGAAGATACAAAACGGTAAAAGTTTGTAGTATTGTCCGTAGAGGGATGTGGTTTGATGCCAAATGGTTTGGTTGTCAGGGGAAAATAAAAGTATTG